ACATTGGGAATCCATTGCTCACACTGCTTCAATCATGCCATGCCAGAACCGTATCTACCGCCTGCTCGAACAGGATCCATTATCGAAGCGCCAGAATACCAAAGGAAATCGTCCAATCGTCAAGCATCTCTCGCGCCCCTCCGAAATCACTTGCGTACCCCACCGCCGTCCTATCGCTGCCGTTCCTGCCGCTGCATCTCTTCCCTGAACACGTTCCTCGACCCTGTTCCCGTCGGCGACCAGCTATCGCGATCCGTAAGCTGTATATTGATGTTTGGCCCCGGCTTATCGCTCGGCGCACCGAATGTCCCGCCACCGACACCCCTCCCGACGCGCTCCGACGCGCTCTTCCGCACGCCGTACCCGCTCGACCGCCGACGGACCTTGCCCAGCGCCCCGACGATCGGCACCGTGCCGTGCCGGCGCCACGACCAGAAACACAGCCCCGCCAGCAGCAGAACTACCACCGCCACAACCACCGGTACCGCGATGGCAATCACCGAGGGCCCGTTCCCGCTCTTGACAGGTACCAGCGGCGGAGGATACATCACATACACAGTCGGCCCTGTATGCTTCTGCGCGTCGTTATCCGCCGGCGTCGTATCGTCGTCCTGAAGAAGCGAAAGCTCCACGCTGATCGACTCCCTTCCCGCCAGTCGCAGAAAGTCATCGTCGATGGTCCATGCCCAGAAACCCCGGCTCACGGGGAACATCTCTGAGGTTGTGCCTTTGCCATCTTCGGGGGTGAGTTGGACGGCGACTTTGGCGTTGCCGGAGGAGAAACGGCGGGGGGTCCAGGTTACTGTGGGAGTCAGATACAGGGCACGGGTTGACCGAGTGGTTGCCGGGGGAGGGGGACCGCGAGTGCGGCGCGGTGCGGTGCTTACCGTAGTATGTGTACCCGACGTATAACACTGTTCCTGGCTCAGGCTGGCAGAAGGGTCCGCCTGGGCCTTGGTACTTGTCGCAGGCGAGGAAGATGCCCGCGTCGCCTTTGCCCGTTGCCGTTGCGACTGGTGCGAGGCCGGTTCTCGTCGTGGCGATTCCGCTCGGAAGGAGGGTGTAAGTCCCGGTTGCGAGGAGCGTCGCGGGGGGTGGGTTGAAGGTGGTGGTGGCGCCGTTTGTGGTTCCGGTTACGGGACTGACGGTGGCGGCGATGCCGGCTTCGTCGACTATCACCCAGGCGGGCACGGGGAGGGCTACGACGTCGTTACCGCCTTGGTTCTGGGGGAGTGCGAGGGCGGTTTGGCATCCTAGTAGGATGGCTGAGGCCGTTACGGCGCACCCTCGGAAGCTCCAGTTGCGTCCCATTGTGTTTCCTCCTGGTACGCTCCTGGGGCGCAAGATCGTGTTGTTCGGGCGTTGAGTCGTTGGGAGAAGCCTGGCATGCACTCGTGCTCAAGGGGCAGCTACCTTAAACGCTGTTTAAGAGCTGGGTCAAGCGGCTCTCGAACTTGCATGAAATCGTAAATGAAGCCCGATGGGTAGGCACAGCGAGATCAGCCTGCAGGATAAAGATTGGGGGACGGCGGAGGGTGCTGTCCCAGCCTCACTCCCCGCTATCACCAGCCAAGAGCACGTCAATGCGATAACACCTGGAGGAGCTGGTCCCCGGACGCTGAGTGTGCTCCCCAACCGGGCCAACAGCTTCTTTCCGACACACACGGACGGCTGATAGGCCGACGACCGCGGGCGGCCTGCAATCGCACCCATAATGTGGTGATGCTATGGGTTCGACCTGGGGTTACCCCTCCTTCGGCCAACCCCCCACCACCTTCTTCAACTGGATTGGGAACGAACGCAATGCGTCGACAGCACCCATGGTTTGCGTCCCGGCCCCCTCTCCCTGGCCAACGCGCTATGCATGTCGGCAGACAGCAGTGGCGGGGTCCTCCGCGACCTCTCAGCCACTTGCGGCGCCGTGCCGTCCCCCTTGGTTCGTGGTGGCCAGCATGCCGCCACCTCGGCAGTGATTGATTGGTGCGTCGGCGCCGTCTTTGAGCTGTTTTAATGCGGGGCATCTGCGGCGATGGCAGGCTGGGACACGGTTCTCTGCCCACTGTCATGAACGACACGCTGCTTCGGTTCGCGATGGTGTTCCATTGAGAGCTCCAGAAGAAGCAACTCTGGGGCCGTGGTGGCTCGCCTCGCCTCTCAGGCCAAGTGGTCCCGATCTAGCTGCCGAGTCTATGTTACGTACAAGCCTCTCGCCATGTGCTTCTCCGCACCGGAGCCGAGATGCTGCAGGTCGTCACAGCTCTGCCTTATCTAGCTCTGAGCCGGTGTTCCTCTGGAGGGTGGGTAGCAAGCATGTTGGCCTCCTAGCAGTCTGGAAGCCTTTTTAGAATGGCTGACCCGCTCACTTGGGCCGTAGGGTGCCTTTGAGCATATTGCGCCTTTTTGTCACACGCTGCTGTCCCTTTTGATCCCTCCAGTGACCGGGTCTTTGAGGTTGCAAGCTTTCGCAGATATTACACCCGCCGGAGTCAGTGTTGCGCGCAATGAAGACCAACCGGGTCGCCAGGGCGGCGCTCGCAGCCGGGCTATCGGCATCGGCCGTGGTGGCTCAGAACTGCCAGAAGGTTCTTGTGCCATCGTATAACTTTCCGAATGTGAACAGCGGATGGCAGGTACAGCTCGTGCTTGGCGGGTTGACCAAGCCGAGGAGTATCGAGTTTGACAGCACCGGTGCGCTGCTCGTTGTGGAGAGCGGCAAGGGCATCACGCGACACAGGTTCACTGACGATGGAGGGACGTGTCTCGTCGAGACGGACTCTACCGTTCTCATCAGCCAGACTTCGGTATGTTGTAGTTGTCGCCATGTCTCGCGCCGGCTGACACGCGCAGTTGAACCACGGTCTCGCGTTCTCAAACGACGGGAGAACCCTCTACGCCTCCACCGCCGAAGCCGTCTACGCATGGCAATACGACGCAACCCAAGGCGTCAGCGCCGTCCCCCGCGCCATCGTCACCGGCATGGCCAACGACGACCTCGTCACTCGCACCCTCCTCATCTCGAAGAAGTCCCCCGGGAATCTCATCATCTCCCGCGGCAGCGCCGAAGCAAAAATGGCACAGGCTGCCGTCCTCTCCAGCGGTCTATCCCAAGTGCGCGTCTTCGATCTGAACAACTTCACCACCACCTCCAAAGCCTACAACTACAACACCGATGGTGTCGTCCTCGGCTGGGGTCTTCGCAACTCTGTCGGTATCGGCGAACACCCCGTCACAGGCGGTATCTACGGCGTGGAGAACAGCGTGGACGGCGTTACCCGCAACGGCAAGGACATCCACGAGAATAACCCCGGCGAGGAACTCAACTATTTCGGTGTCCTCGGCACCAGCAGCGTCAGAGGCCAGAACTACGGATATCCGCATTGCTTTGCAGTGTGGGACGTCTCGGAGATTCCGAACAATGATGGGTTGAACGTTGGCGATCAGTTTGCGATTCAGGAGAATAACACGCTTACGGATGAGACGTGCGCGAGCGATTATGTCGCGCCGAGGTTGACGTTTCCGGCGCATTATGCGCCGTTGGATATCAAGTTTAATGAGGGGGGGAGTGAGGCTTATGTTAGCTTCCATGGGAGTTGTACGTCCCCTTTCCCATACTTATTTACTCTGGGTTTTGTATCATGCTGACCTCTTGCAGTCGACAAAACGGACCCAGTGGGCTACTCCGTCGCCGTTATCCCTTTCAACCCTACCACGGGCGAACCCACCGGCGCGCGCGACCACCATGATGTCTTCACGGAGATCATGACGAACCCGGATCATACCAAGTGTCCTAGTAACTGCTTCCGACCAGCTGGGTTGGCGTTTGATGCCGCCGGAAGGCTTTGGATGACGTCGGACACGACGGGGGAGATTTATATATTACAGAAGAAGAGCGGGACACCGTCGACGACGGCGAGCGGAACGATTGTTACGGCTACGGGGAGACCGAGCGGGGCGGGCAAAAGTTTGGGTTGGGGTGTGGAAACGGGGGTTTTGGGGGCGGTAAGTGTGATCTTGGGTGGGTTGTTTGTGTTGCTGTAGTAGTGAGCTCGCAGCTGTGGAGAAGAGATGGTGGGCTGTCGTTTCTGTTGCACTGTCTGCCTGCAAGGGAGAGGGAATGAGGCGGTTTGCTTGCTTTTAGGGGCATTTGGGGCTATCTTGGAGGAATTTTGCCTGGAATTTACGGACGCATTGGAGCGAGGTAAAACACGGTAACTAATGCTACTGATCTTGACTTGAACATTGCGAGAGAATTCAGGGGCTGAACTCGTGGACCCAAGATCTCGTGCTCGGAGACAAGAGGAGGGCAATTTTGCACACCAGACCTGAGGTGGTTGCAGTCACCACTGCGTCCCCGAATGCCGAATTCCAGCAAGTTCGCCACCACATGTTCTCCACACACTTGGTCGGTGCGGAGACAAGACACGGCAGGATTCCCTCGCAGACTCAGCCTCAGCCGAATGGTCTCCAGCATGGAAGCTAGCGGTACCGAACGTGGGGTAACCAACCCCCCTTCGCAAGCCTAACTTTCGCTACCAGAACACCCTTCCCCAAGAGTTGCATCGCTCTCCAACCCAAGCGAAAAGAAACCAGCCAAGTTCTCCCCAGCTCTCCGAAAACCGGACCCGAAAACCCGCGCTACTGCTGGTGGTGGTGTGCACGCTTATTACCAAGTATTTGTACAAAGCTGCACCACACGCGGGGGAAGTGTGGGGAAGACACGGCTTGCGATGCGACGCTGGGAAGGTCTGCGAAGGTCTGCGAATTGGGCTGTCGTGCCATCTGCACGCAAGCAGCAGCAAGCAAGCTGCAAGTACTACAAGTAAAAATGCATGCCGCGTGTGCCGCGACCACACACCGCTGCAAACCTCACAGCATGCGCTAGAAACTTGGAGGTTAGGGCTCGGCTTGTAATCCCCCGGGTTACCGCTTTAGACCGCCGCAGCCCAGTGAGAAAAAGCAAGCAAAAAAAGAACATCTCTCACGGCTGATGAGAGAGGAGATGCCCAATAACAGGATTGAACTGTTGACCTTCGCATGACTTTGGTATCTTGCGGATGCGAGATATTAGTACGACGCTCTAACCAGCTGAGCTAATCAGGCTTGATTGGATATTGTTGGTTTGATAGTTGGAATTTGTGGATGTGAAGGTTTGGTGGGACCCATTTGGTGGAGAGGGTTCACCAGGGCTTGGTGAAGTGGTGGTTCTGGTGGGGCCGGATACGTTGCGGCGAGTCAGGCTTGGAGGAGAGTTTGTAACCAATACCTACACATAGTTCAAAAGTATATGGTAGCGGTTTATTAAGTAATCCAATCCGTATTTCTTGAATGGACCCAGGAGTTGAATCCTGTTTACTGCTTCATCCCGCCCTCTCAACTAGATGATGCTTCCGTGACCACAACGCCAGTTATCACCCATCATAGACAGCTTTCAACACCGACAGTCTGGTTCTAGCACTCGCTCAAGCATGATCAACGCCAACAGGCGGCTTCCTCCTCAACTCACTCGGAAGCCCCCTGATCGCCGCCTTCTCATCCTCGCCAAGCTTGATAGAGAACCACTCCTCCAAAACCTGCAGCCTATCCTCTTCGACTTCTAGTATCTGCAAAATCTCCACCTTATCTCCAATCCGCCGCTTCAGATAGTCCCGATGCAGAATAATCAGCCCCTCCGGCTCATCCGTTCCCTCTTTCAAAAGGACTCTCATGCACATGACGTTCTGCACGAAGAAGCTCTGCGGCGACGACGAGGTGGGTACGTTCATGACCTGGAAGTCCACCGCGAAGAATTCGATTTCCACAAAGGAGTACATTTCGCCCCAGGGGGCGTGCTCTGACGGCTGGACGGAGTAGACCCACACGCGTTGGGACGGGTCCGAGTGGCACGACAGAGCGCGGTACTCTAGCTTTCCGCGCGCTGGGGCGATGGTGGTGAATTCGTAGCCGTCTCTCAGGGGGATGGGGTGAGGCGAGTTATGGGAGCCAAAACCGACGTCGACGACGTATTTCGTGCCGTCGATGGTGACGAGGTTGAGCATGTGGTTCCAGCCGCTCTGGACGCCGCCAACGCTGACGCGCCCGCCGGCAGAGTAGAGGGTGTAGCCGAGGGTGCGCAGGACGGTGGCGAAGAAGGTGTTCACCTCCATGCAGTAGCCGCCGCGGCCGCGGATGACGAGCTTGTGGAAGAGGGCCTGCGGGTGGAGGGAGAGCGTGCGATGCGGGGAGTAATGTATGGCAAGGCTGTCGAAGGGGACGCCCGCGAGATGGCGGTGCATGAGAGTCGTGAGGAAGCCTAAGGGGTCGGTTTTGATGCGGCTCTGGTAGTCGTCGGCGGGCAGGCCGATGTGCCTAAAGTAGAGCTGTATCTGCTCGGGGGCGAAGCCGTTCATGTTGGCGTTGGTTGTGGATGCTGATTGAGGTGAGTCTGTTGGTTGCGTGAGAATCGAAGTTTGAGGTTGGGTGATGGAATGCCTACCCGACTGGGATCCTTCGGGGTCTTATACTCGACTGTCGAGAACAGATGTTGGTTCGAGGTATGCGCCGTGCGGTCGCCGACGCCGGATCCGAACCAAGCTACGGAGGCAGTCTTGGCGGTGTGGCTGCTTTGGAAGCCTTCGATGTTCGCGATCAGTCGCCACAATGACAAAGCGTAGGATCGGGCTGTGATTTGGAATCGCCAAGAGGCTCGAACCAGGTCAGACACGTTGATGTCGTGGATTGAACTTCGATGGTTGAGGCTGTCCGGAAGATCCACAGCTGCTGACATTGGTGAGGGGGGGCCGCCCCCGCTCGCAGATGCATCCCGCATATACGTCGGAGAGGACTTTTATTTCGAGCATTGTTTGTTCGACTGAAGAGGACAAAGAAATCCTAGGCTCCGATACAATGCGCTGTATGAGAATCATTTCAGTTACAAAAGCCTGCCTGCGCAAATATGAGTGACCACAAACCTCGCGCGAAAGGCACAATGGCCTCACCTGCCCTCTTCCGTTCAACTGCGGGGTCATCACACCGAACTCAATTGCTGAGCACCACTTTCACGACTTTGACCTGACACCCACCAGACCTGAGCCAGGGATGGCAAAGCCTCAATCTAGCTGGAAACTCAGCAACGAGTGATTCCAGATCCCCTTGAACTGGGAAGCACTCTGATTCCACACCTTCGTTTTGTTTCCTTATCAGGAGCTTGTCCCAGAGCTCGAGTCGGGTAAACGGTCAGTCCGCGATCACCAACGCATCCTCGGCAGCGAAACGCAACCACTTATATCAGCTGGCTCGAATTGCGGGGTCGGTTTCGGCAGCAACTCCTTCGTGTCTTCCACGTTATGAGCCTCAACTCGCCTCTTGACAAATCGAACGCTCCAAGGAACAAGCCGCAGGAACAAGCCACAGGAACAAAATGGAATCATCCAAGGACCCCACCTGCGCCCTTCGCTTTGAAGACCTCGTTTCTTCCGTGCGGGCAGCCGAGGACATCGCCGAGGCCGTGCAAACCAACCCCGGAGATATCAAGCCGCGGACGCTTCCTCTCCACAAACAACTGCCGATTAGCTCGCGTCTGGTCCCCCGAGGTTCGAGAGTGCGACTGGAAGCGCTTCCAGACATACGCCCCCGATGAGAAGCGCTACATCATCGACACACTTGTCGCCGGCCACGACATACCCCTTTAGATTCAGGATCAGGTCAATGAGCGAGGAGCTCCGCCCCCAGGGAAGCAAGAGGAGCTTGCTCCAGATGAGGAGCGCTGGATTCACCGTGTTCGTATCCGGTCGGCGGCAGTACTCAAACTTCTCAACACCCTGAGCGGAGAATGGCTCGACATCACCAAGGCCCATACGTTCATGCGGCCGTTTGGGATGCTTATTCTTCACCTTGAGAAATTCAAGGACTGTCTTCAGGCTCTGGAGTTGGAGGCGAGATCCCGCGCGACGGAGGGTCCCAAGAGTGAAGAGCCTGCAGCAGAGACCACGGGCGAGGAAGACGCAGCATTGTGCTTCGCGAGCTCCGTTGCTTCGTCGAATTTGTTGGGGATTCCCTGTTACCCGACTACCGCCAGTTTGAGAACGCATCTGATACCACAACCATGATCCGATATGATGACCTCCAGTACCTCTTCCGCCCCGGCGAGCTCGTATACTTTGGCCATGCCCTCCTCTGCCACCACCAAGGGGAAGGCTTAATCTCCAGGAGCTAGCAAAGATGCGCAAGGTGCTGAGAGTAGCCGAGGTAGCTCTACATGCGTCGCGAATCGATGGCCAAGGATTCTATCATGGCAGATACTACGCCGGCAGTGATGGGCCTGGTGACGGGCTGGGCTCCGGCTGCAATGTGGAGTGTTACTGGCTAGACTTTGGCGGTGAGAGCTTTGTCCCTGAATGGTGCACCATCACGTTTCTCCCATTTCCTGGAAGGACGCAAATTCGTTCCCTCTACGCCTATCCACTTAGATTCGCCGAGTCCTCTTGGGATCTACTGAGTGCAGGTATCGCCATCGGAAGGAAGGTCCTAGACTGCATCGAGCGCAAGAGAATGGCGCGTTTGACGGGCCCTGTCTGCTGTACGAGCCAAACAACTAGGAAGCATTAGCTTTCAAGGGGGAGGCGTTGAGAGAGCCGGAGAGATACGACGGATAGGTGTACATCGATGTCAGGGAAGCCATCAAGACGCGCCCGTACTGGTCTGTCCGCAGCCAAGGACTGAAACTGCTGAATTCCCCCCGCTTGGCAATAGTTTGTGGAAGAATCCTTGGTCGTCGAACACCCTTCCGGCAACGACCTATCGGGTCCAGAGCACTACTACGACCTCGTCGCACAATACGACGCAACCATGCGGTTCCAGGGATCTCGGTATGTTCTGACCGATCCGCACATCAACCGAAAAGGCGGCACTCCTCTCGCCCCCTTCCCACTCAACGAAGAGGACCTCGCACTGGTGCCACGAAGGATCTGTGCGTATTTGGTCCGATACAGAGTCTTCATGGCTGTTGATGTGGAGTACATATAGCCGATTTCGCCCCAGCCGACCGCCCTCGACACCATCTGCATCGAGGATAACGTCAAGAAGATGCTCCGGCTGGCTGTTCGCAGCTCTTTCCGCCAGGGCCAGGAAGCTGCCTTCTCCAGGCCACCAGTCTCCCGCAGGAAGAAGCGCGGCCTCGTAGTCATGGTTCAGGGGCCGCCAGACAGCGGCAAAACCGTTACAGTCGAAGCCATGGCCCACGCGTACAACAAAGCATTGTTCGCCATCGAAGCGAACGAGCTCGTCAACGAAACCGACGAGACTACGATGGCGTTTGAGGTGGCCAAAGCGTGGGACTGCCCGCCCCTTCTGGATGATGCCGATATCCTCCAATCACGGGCAAGGCATGATTCGAGGGTCAATCAGCACGCTGCCAGTATGTAGTCCAGCCACTATACTGAAAAGATTCTAATGCGTTTACAGGATTTCTCCGTATCCTTGACACCTTCCCCGGACTCATCTTCCTGACAACCAGCCATCCCGCCGCCCTCGATGAGAATGTCAAGTCACGCGTTCATCTCACCATCTGCTTCAAGCCCTTGACACTGGGTCAAACCCGCAATATCTTCCAACTCAGCTTTGATCGTCTCCGCGAGGAGGAGCACCAAGATGTCGGGAAGGCTGACACTGAATCCCTGGCTATTTCAGACGACGAAGTTCTCCGCTTCGCGGAGGAGCACTACAACAAAGATGCATCAGGCCGCTGAAATGGGCGTCAGATTTGCAACGCAGTCCGCACGGCAGCGGATCTTGCTCGTTTAGAAGCGACACCCGGGTCTCAACCGCAGCTAAAGGCCGAACATTTCAAAGCGGTAGCAGAGATGATGCGTGAATCTGACGAGGCATCTGACGGACTGGGTTCCAACTCTGCGTCACAAGTAGACGAAGCAGTTGATGAATCACAGAGGCCTGGGTCTGGGGCAGGGCGGAGAAGAATGGTGGGATCCAGGGGTCGTGGAGAGGGAGGAGGTGCGGAGGACGATGATGGGTTGGATTTGACTTCGAATATGTCACGGCAGGATGAGGGCGGGACCCAGAGTATGGCGCAGTGGTCTGTTGTTGCGTAGTGAACGGGGACTTTAACT